TCTAAGCCACAGTATTTTTACCTTGAAACCAAGAAAATACCACCTACTTCAGTAAGCGATGGTACCAACAGAGTGAGCATTTATCATATGTAAATAAGCTGGTGTGGTTTCTTGACCTATGGGAGGTACTCAAGAAATATTAATTCACTGGTTTCTTTAATTCACTTCTGTAGTCAAGTGCCCCCTCCCTGATCTGGGCTCCATAATTGACAATTAACTGTCTATCTCTCCTTCTGGATTCAGCTGAGTTTTACTTATCCTTACACCCTGTCAACACTGAACCTAGATTAAATCCTTGGGCATGTTACTCCTTTCAATAAACATTTATTGAGCATTTGCCGTGTGCCAAACTTTGATGTAAATGTTGTATTATTGGTCTTCTTTTTTTTTGATGCAGCTGCCTGCACTCTTAGATTTCTAGAATTAGAAGAGATTTTAGAGTGGCAGCTTTATCATAACAAAAAAGTCTGGCTCTTGGTCCCAGCTTTCACAGTAACTCAGTGTATGAAATTGGACAAGTAACCCAAACTCCGACCTTCAGTGTCCTCATCTATGATGTGATCACATTACCTATTGCAGAAGGCTGCTATGATTTTTAAATAAGAAAACGTATATAATGGTGCTTCATACGTACAGTGTATGGAAAAAAACTACACTAGCCTTGTGTAGAATTAGTAGGTAAAGTATCTGCCTTTATTAGCTATGTCTGCCATAGGTGTGAGCCAAGAGTAAAAAATAGTTTCAGTTCCTGATCTGATACACTCTCCTCATTTTCAGAGGAAAAAACAATCAAGGCTCCACAAAGAGAGCTGATTTGTCAAAGGTCACACAGCAAGTCAGTTGGAGCATCATTACTAGAACTTCTGTCATCTGATGACTTTCAGATTGGACTGGGCTTAAAGAAAATAATAACCACATCAATTTTACTTGTACGTGCTCAGTTGTGTCCAACTCTTTGTGACCCCATGAACTGTAGCCTGCCAGGCTCTTCTGTCCATAGGTTTTTTTCCCCCGGCAAGAATAGTGGAGTGGGTTGCCATGCCCTCCTCCAGGGGATCTTCCTGACCCATGGATCGAACCTGCATCTCCTGCAACTCCTGCATTGCAGGCGGATTCTTTATCACTGAGCCACTGGGAAAGCCCACAACAATTTTAGGGTGAATAGAAAAGCATCCCCAGTATGGCAGAAATCAAAACCAGTCTTGTAAAGCCATCATCAATCAATTAAAAATAAACAGACATAATTTTAAAAAGAAAAGAAAAACACCCCAGCACCCTGAGATCTCTTTCCTGGCATTTGCCATACTGTACTGTCAACCTCTGTTTATGTGCACACAGTGTAGCTTTCCCAGAAGACAGTGTGAGAACAGGGAGAGGCAGAGAGCTGAGAAGTTCAGTTGGGAGATAGGTTCAGATGGGAGCCCCCAAGGAGATCTTTTCAAAAGGAAGGCAGGGGCTACACAGATATTCAAAAAAGAGGTAAAAACCACCCCAGCAGGCAACTGCCTGAGGCAGATCTGAGCAGACAGGTCAGTGCAGAACTGCATTTGTCAGATAAGCATCAATCAGATCTTCCCTCTCTTTTGTGACAGTCACATAAATGATAGAGCTGTGTAGCTCTTGCTCTTCGTGACAAGCAATACAGATGAAGGCCCAGGGACCATCCAGGAAGTCATCTCTGTTTCCAGGCTGGGAGAAGAATGAAATGGCTCCTAGGAGAACTGGCGTGGAAAATAACACTTTGAGTCTGATTGACTACGGAAGAGGCCAACTTCAGCCATGAAAGGGGGAAGGAGAGGAGACAGCCCTTAAATGCAGCAAGAGATCAACTGAATACACATAGCAGAGAGGTACATGGAGCAAATTCCCTTTGATGGAAAGAGCACAGGATTAAGTCAGAGACACCTGGACTGAGCCCTGGCTCTCTAAGCAGTTGTGTAACCTCAGGCAGATCACACCCTGGGTCTCAGTTTCCTTATCTATAAAATGGGTTAATAAAATGACTTCTGGGCAAACTACTGGAAGAATTAAAACTAGTATATGACAGTGCTTTATAACTCCTTTCCAAAAATTTTTTTTTGTCTGTGTGCTTCATGTTTTCTTCTACCAAGTCATCCTGGGTAGTGGAAATTGCTTGGGATTCCAAAGAGGCCAGATTCTGTTTCCAGGCCTAGCATTTATTAGCTATGAGACCTTGGCAAGAAACTTTGCATGAGTAAGTCAATTTCCTCATTTGTAAAATAAGCATTGTTGGGAGGATTACAGTCAACCTTGGTGGCTCAGACGGTAAAGAATCTGCCTGCAATGGGGGAGACCCAGGTTCAATCCCTGGGTTGGGAAGATCTCCTGGAGAAGGGAATGGCTACCCAGTTCAGTGCTCTTGCCTGGAGAATTCCATGGACAGAGGAGTCTGGCGGGCTACAGTCCAAGTTTGCAAACAGTCCAACACAACTGAGCAACTAACACTTTCAGTTCACTCACAATGTTGGTAAGGCATACAGATATTCTGCTATGTGACACATAGCAGGTACTTATTTAATGTAATTCTGTCTTCCTATTGGGAAGATTTATCCATGAGGTTAAAGAGGGAGTTAGACAATTGAACTTCACCCTGCTATACACAATCTCCTCCCTAAAGCCATACTCTACTCGTTTTTCTGATTCAACCTTTCTTGAAACCATTCCCCACCATGAGCTCAGCCCAGCCCAGCTCCTCATTGTTTCCCCTGATCTCTTAGAGCCACAGAAACAATATTATAATAGCTATCATTTAGTGAGTACCTACTACTAAATGCCAAGTACTCTACCAGGTGTTTTCATTGTATTCCACCTTGAATATGATAGATGCTTGATAAATGTTCACTTCCTTCTCCAGGCTAGAATGAGATAGCGGTTGATATGACCACCATCATAACGTAGGCAAACCTGCATAATAACATCAGTGGCCTCTCTCTTCTATACAGTGCTTTACAGTTTATGAAGCTCTTTTACCCAAATTATATTTAATTCTCACAACAATTCTTGGGAGTAGGTGAGGAAGTCGAGGCAAGAGCAAAACCATGGCTCCAATTATTCATTCAATCAACATTCACTGAGCACCTACTGTGTGCCATCTCCCCCTGTGCTCTGGGGAGATGAAGAGAAACCATAGGAATTCCAGCTTAGAGGGAAAACCTTTTCAAACATCCTCTACAGGTTACTGGTGCCTCCCTTCACATCATAATCCTTAAGAAACTGGAGGTTTATTTCTTGGGCTGGAGATCATTTTAGATTTTTGCCTTCTTCCATACTGTTTCCTCTGATTGGAACATACTTTCCTCTGCTGCTAGCTAAATCCTTCATGACCAGAAAGTCTTCCCTGACCCACCATCCTCCAGCAGAATGTCTTTGCTCCGCAAACAAGCACCAGGGGCTTCCCTGGTGGCTCAGTGGTAAAGAATCCTCCTGCCAATGCAGAGACATGGGTTCCATCCCTGGCTTGCGAAGATCCCCTGGAGAAGGAAATGGCAACCCACTCCAGTATTCTTGCCTGGTAAATCCTATGGACAGAGGAACTTGGCAGGCTGCAGTTCACAGGGTCACAAAGAATCCAACTCAACCGAGCAACTAAACAGCAACAACACAGCACCAGGGCTTCCTTGTACCATAGGCAGCTTTTCACAGACTTCCATTGTCTTCCTCCGTTTATAAGAGTAGAACAGGTGGGCATACACCTGTGCACACACACACATCCAGCTCCTTTTACTATCCCCTACCCTTTTCCATCTGGATTCCATGCAGTTGAGAGAGATGTCCCTGTCCTCCTCTCACTCCCCTCCGCACCTCTACTAGCTGCCAGAGGCTGCCCCCTTGGCCTCCCTAAAAATTTCTTCCTACACTTGGACTCTAGAACAAGAGTCTGCCTGTGGACGAATTTCCCCGTCAATGATCCTTTTCTTGTCTGGTCCCAGGCAGCAGTGTAATAGGGTCCAGTGCTTGTGCCTCCTCCTCAGCTTGTGAGGAGCTAAGTCAGGGCTAGCATTCGGGTGCTCTCGGACTCCACTCTGGGCCCCCATCATCTTCCCACTCTCACACCACAACCCACACCCGGCTTTCTCCGCACCAAGACCCAGCCCATCCACCACCCTAAACTCTCCAAGTTCCAGGACAGCTCCCCCAACCCCCTGCTAAATTGCAGTGCCTCTCTACAGCCCACCTCTGGGCAGAACTCAGGCTGCCACAGCCCATACCCAAAGCCAGGACTCCCCGTTCACCAGCTCCCCACCCGCTTTCTCTGCAGCCTGGACAGACCTAGCCTTGCCTCCCACCTTCTCATTCTTCCTAGTTTCCCACCTCCAAGCCCCCACTCCAGTTACCCACCTTGCCTATACCGAGCTGGGCTCCGCTCCACACCACACTACATTACCCTCTCCCCGCCCAGCATCCCCTCCTGCCCAGCGCTCCTTCCCCTCGTCGTCTCAGCCCTCCGTCTCAAAACGACCCCCACCACCCAGTCCCCTCCCCTTAGCTCTTCACTTCCACGCCTTCTCCCTCGCTCTCCTTAATCTCTCCGCTTCAGCACCCCTTTCCCCGCCCCTCGGCTGCTCGGTACCCTCTGCCAGCACTGCCCCTCTCAGCTCCCTTCCGACATCTCCCCCGCCTCCATCCCCCTCCGCCCAGGTTTCCCCTCAACCGGCCCTCGCTGCGCTCCAGCTGCCGCTCAGCCCTCTCCCCAGCCCCGGCGCCCTCTTTCTTGTTCCTCCGATCCCGCTGCTCCTGCCTTTGAGGCTCCCCCCGCGGCCCTCAAAGCCCGGGTAGACCCTCCTCAGGGCCCCTCCCAGGCTCCGCGCCCCTTCACTGCGGCGGTACCTCTCTTTGGTGACCTCCCCTGGCCCCTTCTTCTTGGGGTCCCTTCCAATGCCCTGCGCTCCTCCTCAATGCCCGCTCACTGTCCTCCGCTCCCCGCTCCGGGCATCGGTCCCAGATCCGCCCCAGGCGGGTTGCCGGGCCGCGCCCCTTACCTGGGACTCCGGGTGAGGACGAACGGCTCGCTCCCTGGCAGCGCGGCGGAACCGCTGGACCTGGCGGCGGGCGGGAGAAGGCGCAGCGGGTTCGCGGAGCAGGGAGGGGGGGGGCGGGGCGGGGCGGGTCCGGTCCCCTCCGCGGCGACTTCGGGCAGAGGCTCGGGCTGCAGCTGGGCTGGGCTACGGCCGAGTCCAGGCCCCACCCATGCCCCGCCCAGGGGCGGAGCCCGCCTTCCCCTGGCCCTCGGCTCCCGGCAGGTGTAGGGAACCCGAGGTTTGTTGGGGACCCGAAGATCCCCAATACCTGGTTGACTATCGTGATTTATCTTAATTCTCACGCCTCGTTTCATAGACTGAACTTAGTAGGGTGATCAAAGGGCTTTGATGATAAAGTAGATGATGACGGGTTTGTAACTCTGCCATTTCTAAAGCTCTTGCTTGTGCATTTATCACTTCGTACTCAAAGAAGCCCACGGAGAGAGGCAGGATCTGAATGGCTGTCTACAGGTGGAAGCGAAGCCAGAAACCTGGGCATTGTTGTATACCCTATGCACTCCTTCAGACCCTATATCCCATCAGCCTGGTAATAACGCCTCCATAAATGTATCCAATGGAGAAGGGAATGGCAACCCACTCCAGTATTCTTGCCGGGAAAATCCCATGGACAGAGGAGCCCGGCAGGCTACAGTCCCTGGGGTCGCAAAGAGTTGGACACTACTGAGTGACTTTCACTTCACTTCAATTCAGTTCACTTCAAGGTATCCTATCCCTTCCCTTCCTCTCCATCGCTCTCACCCTGGTTCAGGCCTCATCACTTCTTGCTTGAACTAAAGCAACGGCCCCCCAATGGGTCCCCCTGCCTCCACTCTTCAATCTACCGTCTTCATCAGCAGGTTGAGTGATTGTTCTATATGTCACCATGTTACCTTCAACCCTGATGAAACAAACAAAACATTTCCAATGGCTCTCCATTACCAGCAGTAGCCTGAAGTGAGAAAATGTTCTTTCCTTGTTATTAGACAGTCCCAGCTCTGCCAGAGAAGGCAGGTATAACAGGTAAATAGCATCCCATCCTTCCATACAGACCTGGACTTCATTTCAAGTTTTCCTGAGGTCACAGGAACTAGCTGCCACGTTTGGTTTAGAATTACAATCCCTCCCCATAGTCGCCCCCCTTCTCAAATCTTAGAGGTCTACTGTTGTTTTTCAGTTGCTCAGTCATGTCCAACTCTCTGTGACCCCATTAACAACAGCTTGCCAGGCTTCCGTGTCTTCACTATCTCCCAGAGCTTGCTCAAACTCATGTCTACTGAGTCGGTGATGCCATCCAACCATCTCATCCTCTGTCGTCCCCTTCTCCTTGTGCCCTCCATCTTTCCCAGCAACAGAGTATTTTCCAATGAGTCAGCTCTACACATCAGGTGGCCAAAGTATTGGAGTTTCAGCTTCAGCATCAGTCCTTCCAATGAATATTCAGGGTTGATTTCCTTTAGGACTGACTTGTTTAATCTCCTTACTGTCCAAGGGACTCTCAAGAGTCTTCTCCAGCACCACAGTTCGAAAGCACCGATCCTTTGGCACTTGGCTGTCTTTATGATCCAACTCTCACATCTGTCCAGGACTACTGGAAAAACCATAGCTTTGACTATACAGACCTTTGTCAGCAAAGTGATTTATATGTTTATGTAACTGAATCACTTTGCTGTACACTTGAAACTAACATAATGTTATAAATTAACTATACATCAATTTAAGAAAAAAATCTTAGACAACAGAGTCAGATATCAGAACATTTTTTCCCTACATTCCATTTTGACTTTATCTACAATTTGTCTCTCTGGCCCAAGGAGCCACCTAAAAGACAGCCCCTCTGGTTATCGGACTTCTCTCTCAGACTCATCTTTGAGCTCTTCTGAGCTTCTCCACCCCCTCCCTTTCACTCACCTTCCCACCATCCATGTCCTGACAGCCCTTCCCACTGTGCTGTCTAGAATCCTGTTCTTTCGCCAACAAACTTTCCTACACCCTCTGCTTTTTCAGAGCATACTCGGGTTACTTCTTTGCCTTTATTAATGCTTGACACTCCTCCAGGACTTCCCTTGCAGCCTTCTGCAGGAAGGCTTCTCACTTCCCTACTCTCTGCATACCACAGAACCAAGAGGTGGGGTTGGCATTGCCACTTCCACCCTTGTACAAAAATTCCTTCTCCTTTGGTCTCTGGACACACCACCTTCCATCCCTCTTATCAACGACATCACTGACCCCCCAGTTGCTCCTCTGCATTGAAGATTCCAACCTCTGGCTCGTGGTCACTCGCATTAGCCCGGTCCTGCCACCCTCCCGGTGCCTTTGGTAGCCCTGTGGTTTCCTGATCCTTCGGTCCTCGATCTCCTCTTCACTTTCCCTCCCATGGTCATACCTTGAACTTAACACAGAACTAGTGCCTCTGTGATCTTAAAATCAAACATCCTGTGCTGCCTGCTACCTCACTGTCTTACTTGAGTTTTCTCATTTTCAAAATGGGTGTCATGATAATGACTATTCAAATGAAATAACACAAAAACCCCACCCTTTTGGAGTTGAGAGACAATAGGAGAACAGATGGTATTGGTTTACATCGCTTCAGATCTTATCATCACTTTCTCTTTCTTCCCTTGCATGTAGTAAAGTGGACAGAGCACACACTTAGAACCAGACTGATGTAGTTTTTAATCCTTGTTCTACACACTTACTTGCTGTGTGACCTTATGTAAATTATCTCATTTTTCTGACACATGCACCTCACTGTTATTTGTAGAAATAGTAATAATGTTGTGAAGATCAAATAAGAAAATGGGATAGCTACTGGAAAGCACTTGACTGAGTACCAGGGACATAGTAAGCCCTCAATAAATAGGAAACATTGTGCTTATAATAGAACAAAAAACACTCTTCTTTAACCACAACTGTCTTCCAAGAAGGATAAACTTTAATGTACAGAGGTCCTTTTGCCCTACTTAGGGCCTTAAGAAGTGTGGATATGTAAGTGTGAGAGGAGAAGGGAGACACTAACTTACTCAGTGCAAGAAGGAAAGGAACTTGGAATTTACTTAGCAAAATGGGTGGGAGAAGTAAAAAAGAGAGCTGGGAAGGGGAAAGGAAAAAAATGAGTAAGAAAATCAGTGTAAGGGTAGGTGTCCTTACAAGGATAAAGGGTCAGAAGTAACCTTCCCATGGTAGGTAAATAGAGGGTGTAAACAGAGGGTGTTTAAGCACTGGAATGCATTAAATGGGAGAAGTTGTCACACATATAATGTAATCATCTTCTGTGACTCTCAACACTTCACCAAAGGCCATTATATTCAGGAATGCTTCCTGAGAGAGAAGAGTTGTATGAATGAGTGAGTAGGAAAATTGAGCGATGGGCTTTGTTTTTCTGAGTTGAAAAAGGAGAGTAGAAGAAGAGACTATGGGAGTACTAAGTCCTTGTGGAATTTGCAGAAAACTTCAGATGTCTTCCAAATGACAAGGGCAATAAAATGTAAAACCTGAGGTTCAGACTCATTGCATTTAGATCTTAAAGGGGCAAGGAGGTCACATCTGACATTTGGGCTATATCATTTGTGCCTCTCTATTGATTAGCAAGTGATTACCAGAGATAATACAGAACAAATCGTATTATATTGGGCTGTCTCCACTTCTGATCTAAATGCCAAGTAAGAATAGGAAGAAAGACAAAATTCTACCTTTTGCCTGGGATCAGACTGGCTAACAATCATAATCAATTAAGGCTTTAAAATATACTGGATTCACTCATATCTTTGTCTCGTTTAGTCCTCAGTGCAATCACGCAAGGTATTTATTGCCATCCTCTTTCTATAAATGAGGAAATAGAAGTCAGAATACTTAAATCACTTTCCAGGGTCACACATATGATAAATGGAAGAACTAGATCTGAACCAGATCTGTCTGACTCCAAGTCAAGAGCTCTTTCTACTAGATTGCAGAATCATGGTTGCTTGGTGAACACCATTGTGGTTAAGAGTCCTACGAACAAAATTTCATTATATCTTTTCTAGTTGTCAGAGTAGTCAGCCTTCTCTAGCTCCCAGTTTGCACATGACATATACAAGTGATGCTTTTTATTGAATGAAAATCAATCACTTAGCTTCATTTTACATCAACTATACTTCAATTTCAAAAAGAAAGGAAAAAAGAAAAGACAAGAAGGTAGTAGCCTAAGTGTTGATGTCACTTGGAATGTTCAAGTCTTTACAAGTTTCAGATCTGTACCCCAGTGTGAGTCCCTCATAGCCAGCCTAGAAATGTAGATCTGTTGGCAAGTCAAGTGTTTTTCTCTGACCTCTTCAGCAGGTTACCTCATATAACAGAGAAACTGGTGCAGGTGCCTAGAAGTCACCAGAATGTGTAAAGCAGCTCTAGAAACATAAGATTCATGAGAGGAATGGTGGAAGACAGGGCTAGAAAGAGAAGCAGAGGCTGGCTGGTCTGAGGCCTTGGAAATCACATTATTGGGAATTTACTTTGCAAGCAAAAGGTTTGAAGCAATGGAGTAACCTGGTTATTTATGCATGCATGAAAGACAGCTCTGGGGCTTTGTGGGTTGCTCAGAGTTAAAGAATCTGCCTACCAAAGCAAGAGATGGAGGTTTAATCCCTGAGTCAGGAAGATCTCCTGGAGGAGGAAATGGCAACCCACTCCACTATGCTTACCTGGAGAATCCCATGGGCAGAGGAGCCTGGCAGGCAATAGTCCATGGGGTCTCAAAGAGTCGGACGTGACTGAGTACACACACACACTTGCACAGGCTGCAAATTACATTAGAAAAAAAGAAAAGAAAGATAGCTCTGACTGTGGTGGGTGTGATAGATGGAGTGGGAAGGATAGGGGGCAGGGAGAAAGGAGAGAGAGAACCCAGTTAGAGATTGCTGTAATAATCCAGGTGAGAGATGAAGAGGACCAGAACTCACGTCAAGGCATGGGGAAAGTGGAAAGTAAAGGGATCCAACGTGTATTTAGGACCTGGTGGAAGATTAAATATAAGATGTTGGGGAAAGGGAATCGGCAGAAACAACCAG